ATCTCAAGCACATGGCTTTATCTGCGAACACAACAGCTCTGCCCACCTGCTCTTCACACCTTTTTACAAGGGGAAGCCAATCATCAGTAAGTTGCCTTTGGGGGGGACGAGCTAACACAGCAGCAGCAAATGGAGAATGAACTGAAGAGGCTCACCAAGGTTTAGCAGTTTATAGAATGGAAGAATATAAACACAAAGCTGAGCGACAGCTTTATATACTGCCTTTAAAGTGATGCTTATTAACAGTCAAATTCATTCTGAAATGCTCCAGAAAATAATGTTTAATCGTTTATGCAAATGTAGAATATAAGATTTTGTTCATGTATTCATTGTAGTCGTTAGTGGTATTTACACCAATTTTTTGTTGCCCTCTCACAGAGACAAAGGCATACACACACATATTTGTGATGCAGTTTTAATGACTGTAAGTGCGCATTTGCTGTCACTAACATGCTTCTTGGTTTAAATCCTGACTTCTGGTTTATTTTCAGCAGTCTCTAGGAAACCATCCCTTCTAAGTAGTGATCTAATGGGGAAAAAAAAAGCACAAAATGTCTTTACTCTCTGACCTTGCTCAACAATACAATCATAAGCATCATGCGACTTCTATGTGATCCCATGTCTCAGAATCTTTGAGAATCAGGTAACTTTTTAAAAAGCAATGGAATATATTTTGCTTTCATCACCTGCCCTCGATGAGAAGGGGTCTTTTTTTAGGATTCATTGCTTCAGATGTGCTCATTCTCAGGTTGGCACATACTGATTTGTCCACACGGTTATGTATAATGTGGTGCGGCACCTCGGTTGAAGATTTATGCCTACTGCCAGAGTATGAGAAAGCACGGACAGCAACGTGAGTTCTTCTTGCCTTCAAATGTGCAGTCCCTGGGCTTGGTCTGTCTCTGGATCTTTACCTCATAATGATGTTCATCACTTACAGATGAACATAGCAATTATTTAGTGTGAACAACAGTTCAGTTTAGGACTTGTTCAGAGGTGACTGTGTGCTGGAAAACAAGCAATGATTACTGTGAAATGTTGTTGACTTTCACCATTAGTCAGCTTCATAGTGGTTTCTTTCACTGAAGGGAATTTCTGAGAACTGGATGCTATTTTTAGCTAGAAAGAAGTAAAAGCTGACTGGAAATACCAAAATTATGGTGAGAGCTGCTTTTGCACCAAAAGACTACAATTGCAAAGATAATCTCATCCATAATTCAGTAACACATTATGTATAGATTCAGGATCTATACATGATAGTTGTTTTTTTTAAACTTTTTTAACTCTATATTAATGTATCTAGATCCATATATTTATTTGTCTGTATCTATATTTATCTAGACTTTCGGGTTTATCTAATTTTACTGAGCAGAATTTGCGTGTTTGGAGATGTTGGTTCAAGCATTTGAAATGACTGCCAATGAAAATTGGAAAATAAATAAAAATCTGTTTCTGCTAACTCCGCTGTCATGGAGCTAGCTAGCTCCAACCACAACTTTATTGACATTTGCACCATGAACACATCACAGTAATAGGAAGGAAGAAGGACGTGTTGAGACTTTAAGCTGTGGGATGTCATTATTCTCTTGAGACGGCATCTCCATGTCACCACTACAATCAATGCCAGGCTGCACATGAAAAATCACCTCATTTAACATTACCAGGCATTGACCTGCCAATCAGATTCAAGTTCTGTTAACTGGAAGTACCTGAATGTCATTTGGGGTTGTTCAGGCACGCTTTAATCACTGTGTTCTAGTTTAAGAGGGTTACTGCTGTGCTTCCCATCACCCTCAGTCACGTCAGATTGCTTTGCACTTCCCGAGCCTGGTTCTGCTTAAGATCTCTCCCTGTTAGAAATGAGTTTTTCCTCCCCACTGCTGTCATGTGCTTGCTCATATGGGGTTGCTGGGTAGCTCTCTGTAAGACATATATTTTTTAAAAGTACCTTGAGCTCCCTTTTGTTGAGGACTGGTGCTACATATTAAAACTGATCTGAAATGTGGCCTCCTGACTATTAACACCAGTCAGAGTTCTAAATACAGTCTCATAATAACGCAGATATTATCTCAAGTATGATATCTGAATAGGAGTTTAATATGAGCCTGTTAATATATCCTGTGATGGATTTAGGCCTTTTTCTGAGGAGCACTATTTTGCTCAGTAATTGCCTTGGATTTAAACTGTCAGTTTTCTCAGTAATGCCGGCACATCCAATAATACGCATCCTTTTGTTCTGGCGTTAAATAAATACAGAACAAACACCCCAATTACACCGTACTCTATTTCCTGTGAGGTTAAATTGAATGTGGGTTAATGGAAAAGGTTTTCTAAGTTTTGAGAGCTGATTTTTAAATGAATTGGTAATTATATGAAACAAATTCACACAAGCTAAAAAATTCCTATGACACAATATTAAACATACTGCCACTGAGACGTGTATCGATCCATTTTCACACAAACATACCTATATCCAGAGTTTATGCACATTTCACATCATGCCAGTACCAAACCAAACTCCCTTTTGTAGAGTCTGTTTGATTTATACATTTTCACACACTTTTAATTGAACCCATTATGCTAATTTACAAAAGAATATTTTTTGTTCTTGCACTCTACTAGAAAACATTTGCAATAGTTGCAGTTCAAAATTATCTATATCTTGTTTCAAGGTGGTACACTTTTCCTTAGTCTTAAACAGGCTGTTATCCCCCTGCTCTCTTATCATAAGCCAACTTTCTTCTGATTGGCTGCACCATGCAAACAGAAGGTTTTAACAGCAGGTGATAGAGCCTTATGGATTATTTTCTGGTTCTCTGATGCTTTGTTGATTATTATTATTATTATTATTATAAATCTATGTTTCAGTTATTCATGGTGAGGTATTAGTGCTTAGGTTGTCTCGTGCTTAGTATAGGTTTAGTTCAGTGTCAAGTCTGCGTCTCTGTTTCTTGTTTCCTGTTTTATTGTGACGGTTTGTCTCATGTCAGCGTGTCTAGCTTTGCTCCCCCTGTCTCGTTAGCCCTAATCTCTCCCAGCTGTGTCTCCCTCCTTTTTCCCATCCTTGATGACTTCCTCAGTGTATTTAAGCCCCGTGTTTCTTTGTGTCAGTGTCGCGTCGTACCTTCAGAGTTGCCTGTGTGTTTCTGTGCTCAGTGTCATTGTTCAGTTCATGTTTTGTTCATCGCTAGCAATAAAGCTGACGTTTTTCAGTTGCAATTCAGTCTCCGAGTCCTGCGTTTGGATCCTTGTCTCCGCCTGCCCGCACACCGAGCCCTGACAGAAACAGTGGACCGCCATGTCTAATACACATTTACTGTGATACTCAGTTGGTCAACAACATTTTATTTAGAGCAATCTGAAGCCAGAGCTTTTAGCTCATAGAGAATATTTGTACTTCCATCCACCATAGTTACTATTATGTCACAGAAAATAAACAAAAGCATAATATGTTCACTTGTTTCTACCCAATGATCTGCGAAGAAGATTGAATCAAAGGGTTGTGAGCCTCAGCCTAAGATTGTTTCTCATAGAAGTTCATGTTGGAATTTGAGGTCTGCTTAGGGAAAATGAAGACAATGAGCCCAAAGTGTAAAGCCATCTTACCCTAACCCTAAGAATTATAGTTTTGCAGTATAATTCATTGTTGTATTTAACCATTTTAGGCTTTTTGGGGACCATTTTCATCCGGGGTTGGGGGTTTTGGCACCGTAGACCTGATATGTGAGAATTTGATACTGGTTAGCCTGTAAAACATCCTTTGTATGGCATATAAGCCATATTATGATGGGTTATGTTATATCAGCATAATATATTCTCTGTGCTCCTTATCCGCTCGATCCAACAGCATCATCACCCAAAACATATACAATGTTTGGTGGTGCGAGCACATCTGAAGCAGCCTGTTTCCTGCTGTGGGAGAAAGATCTGACTTTTTTTCCCTATGTTTTCTAAAACAATCCAAAGTTAGTTGTGAAAATTTCCTATGAAGACCCTAATAGCTGTTTTCCAAGTGTAATGCACTGATTTTGTCCTCGAAGGGATTGAACAGTCATCATTAGGGTGTTGAGCGTGTTTTCTGCGTGGTCTCTGAGCAATTCCTTCAGTTAACAACGCGTCTTTAAAAACTGCAGCAAAACCATGGTTGTTGTTCCAGAAACTTATTGTGCAGAGAAAATTACATCAAAGCGGGAACATTTCACTTCCCATTTAGGTTCGCATCATAAAAGATCCTTCTCATTATAAGAAAACAAACAAGTGCAAGCTGACCAGCAAAACAGAACTTTTTTTTTTCTTCTTCCCAGAATGCTGATCTTATACCTCCATTATCTCATCACTTATCACCTTCACAAGTACTCGCTCTGACCCCCCCCCCCCTGTCCCCCACTCTACCACTCCCCCACTCCCTCTTCCTTCACAGCTTTCCAAAAGGCTCGCGGGAGAAGGAGTCACCATCGGTGGAGAGCAAAGACACTGACAAGTGACACTCACTTAATGGACATCCAACTCAGGTAAGCATTAATGGATTTTGGTGCCACAGATCATTTCCATTAAATAATCACAGATAAAAGCTTCTGTTGTGGCATTTATCGGTGAACCCTTTTGTAAAACAACTTTTTGATGTAAGAAGCACAACTGGCTGTGCTGTTTTCCTGTTTTGTTTTGTTTTTCTCTCTGATTCACCTGCACCAGTAGTCTTAGTTTGCTCATATAGTTTTTACTACTTTTGATATTGTTCCTGGGCAGACATCTAATTAGTGAGTTAAGGCTTGAATGGTGATTCTAAATTGGTTAATTTGAGAATGGTTGCCTTTCCCTCTGTGTTAGCCTCTCAACCTGGTTTAAAAATTTTAAGTCTTTATTTCAGCCACCAATTCATATTCCCGTCAAAAATATTTTGAGGAACATCCAGCTCCTATATTCAGTGCCCTGTTTGTTTAAATGTGTTTTATTTGTCCATAGCTTCCAGTATGAATAGTTTGAATGTTCAGACTCAATAGGAACATGCTGGAAAGGTGAGACCTGCATTATTCTGCAAAACCCTCATACCGCATCCCAGCCTCCTCTAATGATCACAGCCCAAAGCCAGCTGAAGCATCTTCCATTATTTAGAAACGCTGCACTGAAAGGCAATCTATCATTAAAAGATGTGCATTCTCTCAGCTTTTGTTGGACTGATAATGGGACCGTAACAAGGCAGCACTGTCTATACTGCTACCTTATAACGTCCGAAAACAATGACTACCACCGACAGTTTGGCTCTGTGTTAACAGAGATCAGTTTCCAGACTCGTGTTACACTTTGTGAAAACTGTGTTGGCCCTTTGAGGAGCTGGTTGTGGTCAGTGCTGTGACCCAGCACACTGCGTGGAGGCGACATCATGGCTAAGAGAGGAGACAGCAGGGCAGCCGATGCATTATTGCCAGGGCACTGGAGGGATCTGAGCGAGTGGAGCATAGAGAAGAGACAAAGCCACAGAGTAAGACTGTTTTTCCACAAGCTGTCCTGAGCATTTTCTAGTCTTGTTTTCTAGGTACAGAACAAACTGAGAGCATCTGCACATTGCTGACTACTGCCAGCACAGTCAATACTCAGTAATTTAGATGGCATGCTCTCTATTTTGGTCAATTCAATAACACACTGATTATCGATCAGAAGATCAGTCAGTGTCACTGCGCCTTTATTATGTCTGCAAATTATATGAATAATTTGCATATGACTTTTCTCGTGCTGCTTCTTTCAAGGATACAGCAGTTAATGAATTTAAGGCTCATCATCACAAGTACTAATGCATTGAGCTTGTTAGTGTTTGTCAGATTGAACTGACTAAGCTAACCATTAAAAACCATCATGAGACAGGTTAGTTTTACTAATATTTTTTACATTATACATGCTTCCCTTAGGCAATATTATTAGAAAACACTGTGTATACATTTTTATTGCTATGCAGATTTTACCCAGCGTTATCTATCTATTAAGCCCAATGACAAAAATCAACTAGTTAACCTAGAGGAATGTCTTAAAGAAATAAAGGCCTGGATGACTTCTAATTTCTAAATATAGTTAAAATTTAGGTACGCAGTTTGTAGAAACTGGTGTATAACCAGATGCTTTTGTTATATGACGTTACCATGGCCACCGGTGAGGAATCTCGTAGTCATTTGTGATCAGGATATGTCCCTCAATGTGCACATTAAACAAACACGGAGAACTGCCTTCATTCATCTGCTCTGTACTGTTAAAATGGGAAACATCCCGTCTCAGACTAAAGCTAAAAAGCTAGTTCATGCATTTATTACTTCCCGGATTATTGTAATTAATTTTTGTCATGTTGTTCTAAAAGTTCCTTAAAAAGCTTTCAGCAGATCCAAAATGCCTCCACAAGAGTACTGACAAGGACTGGAAAGAGAGCATATTTCTTCCATAGAGGGTTCTCTTCATTTATTACCTGTTAAATCTGGCTCTGTCATAACTTAAAGATCTTATAATACCTTACTATTCTACTTCATTAAAGCCTGCAGAAGGTTTCTTCCATGTTAGTTTTTTCTTCCTACTGTTGGCTAGTGCTTGCTCATAGGAGGGTGTTTGATTGTTGCATTTTATTTTTAATATTGAAGGGTCTTTATCTTGCAATATAAAGCACTTTGAGTCAACTGATGTTGTGAATTAGCACTTTATGAATAAAATTGAGGAGAATTTGATCTTACTGATGAGGCCTTGTTGCAGTAGTAATTCTGGTTAGTTACAACAGGAACTGCAGGTTCAGACATTCGGTTTGAGTGCTTGACGGACGAGAAAATGGCTGAATGCTCCAAATCAAAATATTGTAGTTCTGTGGATAGCAAACCCACCTGAACCAGTGAAGGAGAGCAGGATAGTTTGGATGTATCCATAGATTAGCAAACTGTTATGCCATATCTGAAAAATAACTCGTAACAAAAACTGTTTCTCAGAATAAACGACTCTCTCATTTTCATCCTGGTAGTTTCCATCATTTATATTCCTTAAAATCTGCAAAGCTTGTGACTTTTTGGTAACTTGTTACTGTCCTTGATGAGTAAGGCATTACACAGGCCAACCTACTTGCTATAAAAAAATTTTAAAGCCTTCCCTTCGTGTACATTGGGTAAAAGCCAGACTCCAGAAATGTTTGTTTTCTACAGAACCAGTAAAAATGTGGGAGAAAAGAGTCTTTCAACACACATTCGTTCACTTGGTGATGAAGAATGGTGTCAATTATATCAGTACAAATCTGCCATAGGTGTTTAACTGGTGACATTTAAGGCCATAGCATATAATTCTCATCTTTTTCATACTCATCTATTCGTTCAGTTGGCCCATGTGCCCTTTTGGCATTGTTAGATTTAAAGACATCACTTCAAATAGGATAAAAATGTTTCACCATAGGTGAACACTCAGAATAATTGTGTACTGTTTTTCATGGACCCTTTCCTCCAAAAGCATAAAATGGACACAAAACATGTCCAGCAAATCACCTGACAGCAGGAGTCAAGTGCTCGAGATCATCCTTTAAATGATGTCTTGTCTATACATGCTTATATATATATGTTTACCAATACAGGATAAAACGCTGCCTTACAATCGGGCAAGTTCTTAAAGCCCACCTACATTTTTTGTGTTTTTTGACTGAGCTGATATTAAAAAATGTACCAATTAAAGTATTAATTGGTTTGGTTAATGAAGCTGTGAACACAAGTAAATTACCTCACAGTGACCATGAAGCAGAACTGCACCATGCTGTGCTCACAGCAAATATTAAGAGAGACGAGGACGAATCAGCCCATCGGCACAGATCTGTCTCCAGCTGTGTGTGAACTTTTAATTTAAGTGGAAATTAAATACCTTAACCCCTTCCACCCGGGAGGCTGTGTCAATTATAAAAGCACCATTTTTCCCAAGTTGCCATGGGCGACTCATTCACTAAACTACTACCGATGACAAAGATTCTGCTTCAACGAATTGAGTACAGCTGCAGTGCTGACACATTGGTATTACAGACTCTAATTTATCCTTTTTATTTATAAAAGTCACTGGTCATGGCCGGTCTGAGTATTTCTGCTGGGTTTTTTTGCACATATCCTTGTCTGGGGTTTGCAGAGAATGATCTGAAATTAGAAACTTTTCAGTTCTCAGGGTGAGAATGCTTTGATGCAAGAAGTCAAAGGAGTAACCAGACTACTTCAAGCTAAAGACAACAGTAACTCATTAGAATCACAGTTTGCAGAAGAGCATCTCTGAACTTGCACAGCCTCACTAAAACTGGAACACTGTTAAAATGTTGGCTGGTCTAATGAGACTCAATTTCTGCTGCGACACTCAAATCGTAGGGTCGGAATTTGCCTTCAACAACATGAAAGCAGGGATCCATCCTGCCCTGTGTCAAAAGGTTAGCCTGGTGGTGTAATGTTTTGTGGCACACTTTGGGCCTCTTTGCACCAACTGGACATAAGTTATGCCTATCTGAGTGTTGTTGATGACCAGGTCCATCACTTTATGACAACAGTTGACTCATGGCTGCTTCCAGCAGGACAACATATCAAATCACGAAGCTCAAATTCTCTCAAACTGGTTTCTTGAACATCGCAATGAGCTTACTGCACTCAAATGGCCTCCACAGCCACCAGATCTGAGTTCAGCACAGCACCTTTGGGATGTGGTGAAACAGGAGTTTCACATCATGGATGTGCAGCCAACAAATCTGCAATGATTGTGTGATGTTGTCACGTCAACATGGACCAAAAACTCTGAATATTTCCAGCATCTTGTTGAGTCTGAGTTACAAAGAATTAACACCCCTCTGAAGGAAACAATACGGGGTCCAGTCTGGTGTTATATATACTGTATAAAAGAATAGTAATGATGCATAAATCACTTTCTTCCTGATGACCAACTAAAACAACAATTACTTAAAAAAAACAAATTAATGAGTAACTTTGTGTCCCTTGTTGTAAAGGTTTACTCCAAATCAATGAGACAAGAGACAAAAACCAGAAAACATTTGGAATTGCTGAAAAACTGTGCTTATGCTGGACCTCCTTACACACTTAACATGACCTTGAGACAAATGTAGAGCATCTTCAAACAGAAAACGTGTCCTGTAAAGTGAGGTATGTTGTTTAAATTGGTTACACTGAAGGCTGCCCTTTCCATCTAAACTGAAGCAGACCACCTGTGTGCATTAGAGGTGCAGTAAGGTTGCTGCCTCCCGGAGCCTCTTTAATATTTTATCAACCAAAATGTGAAAGCTCTCTGTATGCTCAGATCTGTGTCTGCTGTGATCAAAAGGCGCATGAGCCAATTACGTTTGCAACATCTTTCTTTAAATGATGAAATACTTCATTTTGTTGCTTTCCCTGTGTCCCCTTTGACAACCCGCACCCACCTCCTGCTCCACACAGAGCTGGGTTTTAGATGTGGAAGCTGTGCTCAGGTCCATGGAAAGACAGCTGGTAAGTTGATCCAAGTCTGTTTTAATAAACGTTAATAGATATTACTATATAATAAATCTAAATCAAAATGGTAAACTCCTAAAAAATTTTAATTTAGGGCATCGTCTGAAGTTTTTCTTTCTTGCACGCTTTTCTCACTTTTGGTTCAAACCTCTCCGTGTGAAGTTTTGTTTGTTTGTTTGTTTGTTTGTTTGTTTGTTAGCTAAACTGGTGTTTCTAAACTGTTGGTAGGTGTGGATATAATTGTGAATGGATGGTAATAAACTCCAGAAAATGTAGGTGGAATTGGGTCAGGAGAAACTGCCCTGCAGCAGGAGGCATTTTACATCAGTTATATTCTGATTGCTGCCTCTCACTACAGTGTGTGGATTATTTGCATCGAGTG